ACACATGCAAAGACACCCCCCAAGCACATGTGGCAATAGCTACATGCCATGCTTCCATATCATTGAAATTAAATTTATATTTATTCATTTAATGTGTCCCTATATTAAAGGGTTCCTTCAACCTCCTTAAGCATGCATCTTTAGCATGCAGTTCCATTCTGAAGAGATAAAACAAAAGAGATAGCAATTAGGTTGAGAGTGATTTAAAAACATTGGGGAGGGGTCTTTTGGGGGGGAAGGGAATCAGAATCATTAGGGCAGCAATGCTATTTCTATTAGGTATGTTTTATTTGCATATGCAAATTCCGTCTAAATAGGATGCCCCCATTAATGTAATTGCTAATTGCATAATAGCCACCAATCTCCATATAGATCAAATGCCCAAGCCTTGTAGCTATTAGGGAAATGGTGCTCTGTAATTAAGATTGTCCTAATTTCCAGATGCCAATTAACTATATAATTATTAGCCCCCTTTCACTAACACAAAATTAAGGATTTTCACCCATATTAGTAAAAGGTTTGGGTGCCCCCCCCCCAACATTACTTAAAGAGAAACTACCAGGCGAAACAGGTCCCTAGGAAACCCATCACTGTTTCAAAATTCAGTAGGTAAATATGCTTATAACTATTCCTTCAAAGGCAACTTAAGTCTTGATTATTCAATTATTTTGTTCAAAATCCACCAAGGGGATATTGATGACTTCCATTTTATTAATTCCCTTGCAAGGTAGGCTAGGCTGGGAGAGTGGATGACCCATGCTCACCTAGTGGGCTTCATGGCTGCTTGGGAATTTGAACCTTAGGTCTCCCGGATCCTGGTCCAACATTCTAACCACTACACCATATTGTCTTTCCCCTATGAACAACTGCATCTGATATTAGGATTAGGAGAGGTCCTCTTTTTCATGAAGCAAGATCAATGGGGAATTGGGAAGAATCCCCATTTATTTAAATGATTGGTGCCTCAACTTTCTGCCCAAAGCAGTTAAAGATGACTTAATAAAAACCCTGTCGGCATTAAAGGGAGGGGGGAGAGCACAGAAGCACAATACTGTGTGGAAAGAATAGATAACAGCATCTGTTAACTAGCTCAGCAGTCAGGAAGCCCTCGATAGATAATATTGAGCAGGCAAGTCAAGTATGAACAACTTGCATACACCACAACTAAACTAAAGCTAAAACAGAACTCACTACCAGAAGTTTGAATGAACCAAAGAAGACTTTCAGCTTATCTACACTATACATTTATAGCAGTATTATACACTTTAAACAGCCATGGCTTCCCCCAAAGAATCCTGGGAAATGTAGCTCATTAAGGGTGCCAAGAGTTGTTATGAGATCCTTGTTCCCTCCACAGACCTACAATTTCCAGAGTGGTTTAACAACCATTCTCTTTTCCCAGGGGACTCTTGAGTGCAACAGCATTCTCCTCATCTCCAGTTCCCAACTAGTATTCAGAGGCATACTGCTTCCAACAGGAGGGTGAACACAACTATCATAGCTAGTAGCCATTGGACAGCCTTGTCCTCCATGAATTTGTCTAATCCTCCAGCGCGGTGAGCCAGTGTGGTGTAGTGGTTAAGAACAGTGGACTTGTAATCTGGTGAACCAGGTTCGATTCCCTGCTCCTCCACATGCAGCTGCTGTGGAGCTAGTCACACTTCTCTGAAGTCTCTCGGCCCCACTCACCTCACAGAGTGTTTGTTGTGAGGGAGGAAGGGAAAGGAGATTGTTAGCCGCTTTGAGACTCCTTAGGGTAGTGATAAAGCGGGATATCAAATCCAAACTCCTCCTCCTCCTCTTCTTCTCCTTTACAGCTGGTGGCCATCACTAAATCGTGTGGGTAAGCTCTGGAAGGCCTCTGGTTATCCCTCTTGCACAGCCCCCCAAATCCCCACTGAATTCTAGGGAGGGAAAGTCATAATCCTTGGAGATCCACAAGGCAAGGTTATTAGATCCCAAGAATGGATCCAGCAAAAGCCTTTGGGGTGTGTGGGAGAGAAGAATCACAATAAATCCATCAATCAAAACTGTTCTTTTCTTTTAAGTTCTCCACTAGAAATAGCAAAAAAAGGGATTACCGAAAGCCCATATAATGGAATCACATCCACTGCTCCAAGCCAGCATCCCGCTCCTTTAAATCACCAGATGCCTTACGCAGAGGTGTGTGGCTCTGGAGGTCACCTGACCCTGCTTGGGCATATAAAAGAGCCAGTTCGATATCCTGCTGGCCCTGGGAGCTCTCCAAGTCCTGTAAGCTTGACAGGTTCCCGTTATCTGCTCCTCACTGTTGTGGATTGCCTTCTACTTTGGGTCAGCTTCCTTGGACCCTGTCTATCACACTGCCAGCTTTCGGCCCAACTAGATTAAGACAGACAGCAGACATTTGTGAGAGATAAAAACAAAAGCCACATCAGCAATACAGGGAAAGCTATCAGACGACTCTCAAAGGAATCCGAGAACAAGCGCATGCCTGTGTTCCTAAGCCCCCCCCCCCAAGAAATGACAGCGAATTTAAGCTGGCACCTATGCCCTGTGACTAATGAGAGCTACCTGCTTGAGAACAGAAGGCCAGGCAGCCAGGTAAGGCACTCTTGGCAGGAATCAACCCGGGCCATGCGGCATTCATCATCTGCTAAACCAATCCACCAGCTCCAACGACCATTTGTCATTAATTGCGCTAATCAGCAAACCATTACTCTCTTGATGACAATGCAACCCTTATTAGCTAGTTATGGGGATGGAGGTGGGGGGAGGAAAGGGGATTTCTAGCCCCCCTCCAATGTGTATCTTAAACATGAGTCCATAGGGAAGAAATGTCCAATTATGAAAATAAGAAATTTGCTATCATCCCCTACTAATAAACCACCTGAGTAGCTTGAAACATCGCTGAAGCTAGAAGACGTAAACAAGAACAATCTCATAACAATGTATGTAAGAGGCCAAATAGCAGCTGGATAGAAGACCTTTGTTTAAGAAATGATTTGAGGATTTGAGAATGAGAAAACAATAGGAAAGGTTGTAAGATATAATCATATGAACTCGACTGCATCAAATGCTCTCTCTTCGATTTCTCGATCAGAAGTGATACTTCCAGCATGTGAGAAATATTTTCTGAGAAAATTCTTGATTGAGAGAATATTCACTTTCCCCCCAATCCTATTTAGTGTTGTTCTGCTATCTTCTCCACTGTTGCTTTGGTGCAATCCTCTCCGCCCCCACCCTCCACCCAATCAATTACTTTGTCAAATAAACATTCACATCATTAGTATTAGAAAATGTGTAGAAGGTAGAGAAATAATATGTTGTACTTATTTTCATCTTTATGTGTTTAGGTTTGATGTTATTATATAAATATGTTATTAGTATTTTTTTCTTTTAGGAGGTAGCAAGGTGGGTGAAAGGAGAAACAAACCAGGAGTGGAAGTTGGGGGGAGCCTAGGAGGGGAGGGAGGGAGGAATGCATAGTAAATGTTATGGATATGAGATGTATGTAATTAATGAAAAAGAAAACTGGGGGAAAAAATTAAAACAACAACAACAATCAATTACTTTGTCTTGGCTGCATGTCCAGATTATGGAGGGAAAACATATCCAGTGGAAAACCAAAGGCAACACTTGCTGGATCAGCAACACAGGACTGCTGCTGTGAATAAGTTCACATACACAAATAGAAAAAAACAGGGGTTCAGGCCAGCATCAAAAAACTCAATATTTGGCAAGCAAAGTACTACAAATGTATTTGTCACAATGTACCCGCTATTACAAGGCATACTGTACATGCAAGCGGTCCTCCAAAATCATCATAATAAGTACAATATTGCAATTAATGATATATTTTCATTATTTCCAACCCAAGGAAATTCTTGGGAGTGGTAGAGCAGCTGTAGCAAACAGGACTGGAGTCTGGTTGATTCTAGTTTCAAAGAGAAAACTCCTCCTTCAGCTGACAATACAGAAGAAAATGGTAGCAACCCACCCCAAACAATATAGTGTAAACTTTTCCAGACATGAGCAGGCAGACTCACCTGTGAAGCGAACAAGGTCCCACATCGGGTACAAGTAGAGGCAACTGCTGCATGCTGGCTAGCAGAGCACAGAGGAAGCCCACTAGTGGACATTTATGAGTAGAGATTATGAAACCCCAAGGGTTTCTTAAAGAAGTACTACAAGAAACAGCCCAAATCAAAAGATGTATTCAGCCCATGCGGTGAGATTGTATTGAGAAGATAATGAAAATATATCATTAATTGTAATATTGTACTTGTTTTGATGGTTCTGGAGTACCGCTTGCATGTACTGTATGCCTTGTAATAGCGGGTACATTGTGACGAATACAGTGGAACCTCGGTTTTCAAATGTCTTAGCTGCCGAATGTTTTGGTTTCTGAACACCGAAGTGAATGCTTCTGTTTTCGAACGTGCCTCGGAAGTCAAACAGCTTCCATGGCGCGTTTTTCCATTTTCACCATTCACTCTGCCGACAACCCTTTGATTTTCGGTTCTTGAATGTTTTGGAAGTCAAACAGACTCACGGAACGGATTATGTTCGAAAACTGAGGTTCCACTGTACATTCGTTGTACTTTGCTTGCCATATATTGTGTTTTTGTATGCTAGCCTGAACCCGTTTTTTCTCTTTGTGTATGTTCCTATACAGTGGGTTCCTTATTTTTGTGAATAAGATCACATCATGATCAGATAAGGCTAGCTGACATCACTGAAGGCAAACCAAGACAATGAAGAGTGAAAGAAATGGCTCCCAGATAGACAACAGCTTCAGAAATTATCTTTGAAAAATGGCCAAGGTTGGGGTGGGGAGGGAACTTTTAAATGATACCCAAAGTATCATTTGCACAAAGTTGGATCATTTTCATCCCTGTTCTACTTATGGAATTCACTGCTGCAAGATGGGGGTGATGGTCATTAGCTTAGATGACTTTAAAATGAAACTGGAATAATTTGTGGAAGAGGAGGATAGAGTTATATCAATGTTTAGGGAAGGGCCATAAGCTCAGTGGGAGAGCTTCCGTTTTGCATGCAGAAGGCCCAGGTTCAATCCCCGGCATCTCCAGGTAGGGTAGGGCAGGGAGAAATTCCTGCCTGAAACCCTGGGGAACCACTGCCAATCAGTGTAGACAATACTGTACTAGATGGACCAAGGGTCCAACTCGGTATAAGGCAGCTTCCTATATTCTTTTGGTACTGCTCATGGTCATGGTCTTCAACATCCAGGATCAGAACACCTCTGAATACCAGTTGCTACAACAAAGGAGGGTTGTTGCTTCGATGTTCTGCTTGGGGATTTCCCAGATGCCTCCAGTTGGCCACTGGGAGTGGTGGCAAGGAGGAAAGCTGGCCTAGATGAACCTTTATAGATAACTGTCTTGCTGGATCAGACTCGTCTCACAAAGCCACGGGGAAGATGAGTTTGGAATGCCAGCAATCACCATGAGGACTGGAAACATGTTGCAGGTGAAGGGCACCCGTGTGTCTTGCCAAATGGTGTGGGGATTCAACCCTTTAACTCAACTGAGCAATGCTACGGGGTTAGGAATGCAGTTGCACTGGAGGTTTTTGCTTCAATGGCAACTCTGCAGTTGTCCGCTGCCTTGCCATTTCCAAGTTGTTTTGTGCAGCCACAAACTCTTCATACACATTAAGATCCTTAAAATTAGGTAGTAAGAGCTCATTAATATTGCCCAAGTAAATGGGCCTATTAAACCATCTTTAAGCAATATCGAAACATAAATCTCCTTAAACTATATTTAATGACTATACTTAAGATACATTATATGTGACTCTTAATGAAACATTAGATAGCGTTTTGGAGATGAAAATGAGAAAATCCATACAACGTCCATCCGGTTAACACACCCGAAAGCTACAGTCATGAAATGCATTACGACCAAATGATTACTTCATTAGGACAAATATTTTTCTAATCATTCCTGATTTATATTATTAGAGCTATAGATATTTTGATAATGTGTTAGGAAAGCCTCCTAGTGGCCTACAATGTTTATGCATTTTAACACAGATCTACTATGCACCTTTAAAAAATAAATAAATTAATAACTTTGGAATCTTCAGCAATTGTTTAATGTTGGTATGGCTGGACATTTGGGCTTTGGGAGTAGGTCCACTGAAAATAATGGACCTATGTTAGTCATCTCTAGTAGTGTAATTGCAAATTCGGAAGTGCAGGGTCCCTTCATGATAGTCACAGCCATGCCCTCTCACAGCCATGTCCCTTTCTAAGATTATACAATAATCCTATCATTATACAAAATTATTATTTAGGGATGCATTACAGTGGCCAATGTAGTTCTCCGTGTATCGCTTTCCAGCCAGATCTACTATTTTCTGTGCACACACACGGGCACATAATTCTCTTGGAAATGAAGTACCTTTTGTTTTCCATGTTCCTAATATATGTATATTGGTGTGCATGTGCGCAAGCAAATACATAAATAATTGTTTTTTAACATTGCATTCCCCACTAATTTTTTAGCTGTTTCTATTTTAGCTGTAAGCTGCCTTGAGCCCCTATCAGGGAAAAACACAGTATATAATAACAACTACTCATTGATGTTCTTCCTGCATGTCTTCTCCTATGGGTCAATTCTCAGTGGGCAATGCACCTCCTTTTACACTGTTTGGCTCCAATCAGCACTAAGGGTGAGAACAATTCTTAATGGCTAAACAGCTCCCCTTTCATACTGACTAATGTAGACACAAGGAAAGTGCTTTTACAAACATACCCAAGTATCCTTCTCCATCCAGCTTCTCTTGAACTGAAACTTTATTACCAACCATGCTAAGTAGCAGAGTATATATTTTGCATGTGGATGGTCCCAAGATTCAATATCCAGAAACTCTAGTTAAAAGGAAATGGTTAGCAAGTGATGGGAAAGATTGTGCCTGAAACCTTGGTGTGGCAGTGATAGACAGCATTGTACAACAAGACCATAGCATAAAAAGGATGGAGATTCGAGGCCTTCCAGATGCTGTTGGACTCCCATCAGTCCCAGCCAGCACTGCCAATGATCCAACTCAGGGATAATGGGTTTTAGTCAATAACAGCTGCAGGGTCCCCGATTCTCCATCCCCACGTTGTAGTCTTCAGAATGGAGTCCTTCAAGAGGTGGAATAATAAGGGATTGGAAAAGTGTTGGATTCCATATGGAACCATATACCATATACTGACATATCAAGCTCAGAATTGTCTCCAATGGCTCTTCAGGGTTTCAGGCAGAACTCTCTCCCAGACCTACCTGGAGATGCTGGGGAATGATCTTAGGACCTTCTGCATGCTAGGCAGATGCCCTACCAGTGACATTCAGACTTTCTCCAACTCCCATCAGCCCCTACCAATGGTTAGAGATAATGGGACTTGGGAGACCAACAACATCCATAGAGCTAATGGTTTCCTATCCCCACAGTGTAAGCTCATATATTCTCAACTAGGACTTCCCACAACCACATTTGCACACACATAGCATTAGGTGGGGGAGCTTTTTAAAGATACTGAATTGCAGCCACCACTCTCTACTACAAAATGCCTTTTCAATTACAAAAAAGGGACCATTGAGATATCCGAATTAGACGAGCCATGAAGGAGGATGGCGGTGACACCTGTCAACAGGACACAGCCCGTGCCAGTGATCTAAAAATTAAAATACAATTTGCCACCCTGATCATTAAAAGAAAATCATTCTTGATGAGAGGAAAGCAGTCACAACAAGGTTATTTCATTTGTTCTGCACATGGATCTGCTCTCCAAAAACGAAGAGAACAATTCCTTTGCATTTTATCTAAGTGCACAAATTATGCGTTATGCATTTTTCATCAGCCATAGGCTTCTCTCTCTCTAGAAATGCTGTGTGTGTGTGTGTGTGTGTGTGTGTGTGTGTGTGTGATATTGTAATGAACAATAGTGAATGTGTTATATTATTCTTCATCAAGCCTCCAAGTGGAAAAAGAAAAAAGATCTCTCTGTTACATTATAATAGCTGTTGGCCAATGTAATTCAGTAGATTAAATTCAACTGAATGTGTGTGTGTGTTTTAACACACCATAAAACAGCACGATAAGGCTGCTATAATTTTTTTTTAAAATTTTACTCCGAACTCCATCACACATATCATATACAAGCACCGAAAGAGGGGGTGAAAAAAACTGTGTGAAAAGTAATTTTGCATAATCAGTACACGCCATCTGGAACAATTAAACGATTTCTATAGAACTATGAGGATCAGTCATATCTGCTTATTAAAGATCAGAAATTATACAAGTAATAAATCCTCGAAAAAACTAAGCGTGCTCTCGCCTGTCAACGCTATTTTAACTTCAAATACTGAAGAATGCTTGATAAGGCTGAAAAGAGGAGATTAATATATGCAAATTACATTGAGCATTTAAAATCCCCTGCAACTGTCTCCCGTTCTCCTGTCCCTTATTGCCGCATTTATGTTTTATTCATTCATTCACCCAACTCACCTGTCACTTCATAAGCTATAATATTATGGGGGTATTATTAAACAGCATAAAGCCCCCGCTTTAATTGGAAAGCTTCATTGCATTTTCCAATTATTTGGACTAAATTAAAAGCAGATGTACATAGTTTAATAAGGAGTCTAATATCAGTTCCGGGAAATCAAAATTCATTGTCATTACTGCACCGCGATACTTTTTGCAAACTGTACTCCATTTTCGGGGAGGCGTCCCCCCCCCCCACTCAAGGAAATCTCTGTCGGCAATCGGTTAATTGTCATTCCTTTAATAACTGTTTAAATATCCAAACGCTGCAGCAGCTTCCTATTAAAAAAATTAAAACGACGGGGCATGTACAAGCAAAACAAATACACTGCAGATTCCTGATAAAGGCAGGCGACTCTTACCACAACTAGTACATGATGCGCATAAGCATGTGTGATTAGCAGTGCATTGTACTGGAAGAAGGGGATGCTGAAACTTGAAGCGGTTCCTGGCTTAGAATCAACTAAATTGAATGCGAAATTGACACTCCTCACTCCTAACCTTTCAGTCTTCTTCATGTGTTCAGCCTGGATACATGAGGGTAAAAGTATACAGACAGGCAGGGGTGATTATGTACACAAACTCCATTATTCAGCTTGCCCCTCTACCAAAGCCACAAAGGCCTGACGGGGGCTTGCCTGAATTACAAGCCTCCTACTAGCCCCAATGGCCATGCTCTCCACTGTCGGAGGCAGTAGTATGCCTCTGAATATGGCATGCCTCAGTATGCTCATGGGAATCGCAGGTGGGGAGAGCACAGTTGCACTCAGGTCTGGTTTCTGGGCTTCAGATTAAGGTATCTGGTTGCCTACTGTGAAAGCAGGATGCTGGACTTAGATGGGCCTTTGCTCTGATGCTGCTGGCTATTTCTATGTTCTCATGATCAGGTTCTCTGCTTTATCAGCTCTCATTTTAAGAAACACTGGGGCAAGGCCAGGCTGAACATCTCAGGAAAGGGTTTGGCTCTCAATAAATTTACACCTCCTGCCCATGCTAAGCAGTTTTTTTTTCTAGGTAGCAGCAAAGTGGAATGCAGCAGGGAAAGGGCATAAGCTCAATGGTAGAGCACCTGCTTTGCATGCAGATGGTCCAAGGGTTCAATTTCTGGGATATCCCTATCTGAAATCCCAGAGCTGCTGCTGCCAATCCATGAAGGCAATCCTGAGCTGGTTGGATCAATGGTCTGGTTCTGAATAAAACAGCTTCCTATGTTGACAGAGCCTTGTAATCCACTCATGAAGCTGGTCCTGCTGAAACCACGAAAGAACGCCTAACAGACGTAATGTCATCTGATGGCCATGGGCAACTAAAGTCAATCCTGCAGGGGGATTTCTTTTCTTTTCTTTCTTTTCTAAAAAAGAACATAGGATTGTGCACAGTGCAAATTAAAGCACTCAATAACTCGGAAGAAGGAGAAGAGTTTCTCAAGGATATTCCCTGTTGCTCAAGCAGACTTGCAAAATATTAACTGACATTCTCCAACATCAATTCTTTTTCCAGCATTTGCAATCATAGCCTGAAATGAGGATTTTTTTGGGGGGGGGACCCCAGTGCACACACAAAAAAGTATATTGATACTTGGTAACATATTTAAAATCTGCCAAGACATAGTAGTTAAGACAGGTGAGCAGGTGAGGGGAAACTTTGGCCCCCAGATATTGCTGACCTACTTCTCCCATATCTCTGTCTCTTGGCCATTATTACCAGTGCTGATGGGAGTTGAAGTTTGGCAAAAAACAGGAGGGCCAAAGGTTCCCATATTTAAATTAAGATTTAAAGTAGTTTCCCTCCATGTCAAAGCTTTAATGTGCAGAAACCAAATCAAAATGTGTGCATGGGTATGCACACTTGACATTCTAAAGGAATATGTCTTAAAAATTTACCATATTTGTGTAAAATTCGGTATATATTCCTAAATCTGGAACTCCAGATGTGCTTTGGTTTGCATCTGAAACTCCTGAATGTGACTACCTGGCCCCCAAGTTCCCCCATCCCAAATCATTCACACAATTATTCAATTCTGCTTATTTACAGAATAGCAAAAGACTCTTAAACACCATTAATCCCAATAGAAATAGAGGCCTGTTGAGAGGGCCACCCCTATTATAATGGTGGTGTACAATAAAAATCACTAACACAGCATAAAGTTGTTAAACCATCAAACAGAGCAGAACTAATCAACACAGAAATTAATTCTCCCCTCCCTCTCAAGAAAACATCCCACTTGGTAAAACAGAAACTGAATGATGTTATGTCACAATCAGCATTGATCCTCACAATGCATTGCCATTCTGGGGGCACATATGAGGAGAAAATGGTGACTTACTAGGAAGAGTTCTGGCATGAGAGGCAGCAATAGCAAATATGTTATTTAGAAAGAAAGCAAATGAGCCATGAACACCACCCAAGAAAATGGAGCCGCAGTAGTTCATGTACTGGGTACTTCAAGACTGTGATATGCTCTATGTGGGGCTTCCCTTGTGCTTGATCTGGGAACTTGCAGTTGGTGCAGAATGTACATAACACCTGTGCTCAGAAATTGGTACTGGTCGCCGATTTGGGCCAAGTTCAAGTTGTTACTATTAGCATATAATGCCCTTAACATACTGGGACCAAGTCAAGTTTAGCTATGAGACTGCCTTCTCCTACATGTGCCCACTCAACCACTTCGATCAGCACAACACACTGTTATAGGTGCCACATAACAGCATTTGTAAGAACTCAGCCATTTAGTGTTGTAGTGCCTGTACTTTGGAACTCCTTGCCTACTGAGATCATCCAGGTCTCTTTTTGGCACCTGCTAAAAACATTCTTGTCTACCCAGATGCTTAGAAAGCTGAGGTAATTTTTAATCTGCTTTAGTATTTTAACTTTTGTATGTTTTAATGTAAGATTTTTTAAAATAGTGGTGTATAGATTTTATTATATACACACACACACACACACACACACATCTTTTCAGAATTTGTGATAGGACCTTTAAAAAAACCAAACCAAAACCAAACCAAATGGCTGACAAGTACAATTCCTCCCCATTCACCCCAGAAATTCCTCCTTCAGAAGGAAGTGAAATCATCACACAGCATCATTCTTTGGAAGAATCCTACTGTGTGCATTTGTGTGAGAGAGGTGGGCTGAATGAAGAAAATGGAGAAGTCATTGTGACCCTCCTACACCTCCTGAAAAACCAAAATGACCTCTCCACTTTCTCCATAGCAAATGGGGCACCAACATTTAGTGCGGCAGGGAAGCTTAAAAAAAATACTGTTGTTATTTATTTTCATAGCACAGAAGATGAATTTTGAGAAAACAATTGTTATAACAGTAAACAACAAATAACTTGTCCTGATAAAATTACAGACTCTTATCCTGCCATGAATGGTCCTTAAGGTTTTCTTTTACTCAGAAATCATTTCTATTTTACCACTGTAATCAGTGGACCTACACTGGTCATGCCTATTCATCTGACCGGGCCTACTCAGAGTAGGCCTAACATTGGCAACAGACCCTCAGGCCCAAACATCAGACAAACACTACAGCAACAACTGCCCAAACCTCCTAATGTTCTTTCCAAGAAGAAGCTGAAAGCAATTCTTTTCGCTGCAAATTAAAACAATGGCATCTCTTTTTCTTTATCCTCCTTTCAAAATTACCTATGTTAATAAAGGCGCCACCACACTGTGCTTAGTGAACTATTTAATTATCTTTGAAAAGTGAGGAGAGGGGTGGAGGGGGAAGAGATGGATCAAAACAATAGTTTTTCTGTGAAAAATAAATGGCTAAGCCCTGATTAAAATGTTCTCATCGCCTACAAAGAAATGATACAGGGTTTTATTTTATTTCTGTTAACGCACATTGAAGAGCACAAAGTTATCATGGAGGGGAGCACTAGGCATTTTTTTGGCAACATGGGATGAAATTTCCCGCCCTCTCTCTGCAAGAGAATTGGAGGTTTCAGCCATTCTGCCTTTTCAAAGCAAATGGCGAAAGGACATTTTTTCTATTCAAGCTGCCACCAGAGCTCATTAATCAACGCCAAAGTACTTCAACAGACCCAGGCTTGAGACAAAGCTGTTACCAAACTATTGGCTGGAGGCTTTATTTTCCACGCCAACTGCTATCTTCAAATTTGGACCTCATCTTCTGATAGTGCTCTGGCCAAGGTGCTTCTTTCCAAAGTTTGGTTTATGTTTTATAAATGCACATGGTGATAGGACAAAAAAGAGGAAAAATGCAAATTATTATCTATTACTATTAGTTATATCCCACCTTTCCTCCATGGAGTTTACATGAATGTCCTCCTCTTCATTTAATCCCCACAACAACCCAGAGAAGTACATTAGGCTGAGAGACTGTGACTGGCCTAAGGTCACCCAGTGGGCTTCATAGATGAATGAGGGTTTGAATCCTGATCTTGTAGGTCTAGAGAGTCTGACCCTCTAACCGCCATACCACATTTGTTCCTCCCAAGATCCTTTTTCTGATTACAACATACAGGTTGGAAGTCTGTGATATGAAGGTACTTATCACGTCTGTTAAAATTATGTATGTAGTAACAAGAGTAGGAGTTGCTTTCTTCATTTCATTTTTAATTTGTACACTGCTGTTCTAGATTACTGTACTCAAAAAAGTTTACAAAATTGACAAAAATATGCAACAACAACAAAATCACATTGCCATCCTATAACATTTCAAACTTCAATTAAAAGCAAAGTAATAGAATCCAAGATTCCATATCATATCTGGTATCCTAAGTATTTTAAGATAATAAGCTATCAGCAAATTACAGTGGACGCTTGGGTTGTGAACGTGATCCATGCGGGATGCATGTTCGCAACCCGCAGTGTTCGCAACCTGCAGCGGCGCGTCTGCACATGCGTGGGTTGCGATTCGGCGTTTCTGCACATGCACAACTGCCGAAACCCGGAAATAACCCGTTTCAGTACTTCCGGGTTTTGGTGTTCCGTAACCCAAAAAAACTGCAACCTGAAGTGTCTGTAACCCGAGGTATGACTGTATAAAACAAAATCACCCCCATGAATTACAGTAACTTAAATAATGACAACCAACTAAACACGTTCAGACATTTTCCCATCATTAGTAGGAAATCTATCGCAGATGGCACAAATATTTTGCCACGTGATACCTGTGATATTCCACTTCATAGGAAATGATCAGACCACTGGTTCATATAACTCATTAGTGTCCACACTGACTGGCAGTGACTCCACTAGGATTCAGTCAGGAATCCTTCCCAGAGATGAAACTTGAAGCTATAATATGCAAAGCATCATTTCTTATCACTGAGCAATGACCATGCCCTATGGAAAAGGAGCAGCAGAGCAAGTGGTAGCTGGACCTCTCCAGAAGAGTCATTGCTGTGTAGTCCAAAGAGCAACCTACTAAAGGGACCAGCACCTGGAGGCCAAAAGCAACTTCATGTGAGAGCTAGAGAAGCATAGTGGCTAAGAGACTGAATATGAACTAAAAATGTCATCCAGGACCATAGCTCAGTGGTTAGAGCATCTGCTTTGCATGCAGAAGGTCCCAGGTTCAATACCCTGCATCTCTGTGTGAGGCTAAAATGTCCTGAAACCCTGAAGAAGTATAGACCTTGGGTCCCCAGATGTTGTTGGACTACAACTCCCATCATCCCTGACCTCTGGTCCTGCTAGGTAAGGATGATGGGAATTGAAGTTCAACAACATCTGGGGACTCAAGGTTGAGAAAGGATGGTGACGACAATACTGAGTGAGACAGACTAATGATCTGATTCAGTAGAACGAAGCTTCATAAGATCCAGCAGGCTCTTATATTATGTTCATACCTTATGGTGACAATGATGCAGGATGATGACTGCTCCTTCATTCTTCGGGTCCATTCACCCCAACTTGCTTGCCCAAACATTGCTGGTTAAGGGACTTGTAAGCCACCTATGTATCTATTTCAAGCTCTGGAATGGGGATACAACACAGCTATGCACACACAATGTCAAGGCACTGCCTGATGGAGTAAGGCCTGGAAGTCCTGGTGCAAGACATGAAACGAAGCAGAAGGCGCGGCTGTCAAATTACCGGTGTCTCACGCAGAACTGAGAATGCCATGTTATCGGTGGA